TAATAATAATATGATGATGATGATGATGATGATGATGATGATGATGATGATGACGATGATGATGATTTCAATAATAATATTAGTATCGTAATGTTGTCTCGGTACCATGGTGGGCCTTGTATGCTGACTGAATAATGTTTCACTCAGATTATTTCCCCTTCCCAGTAATCCCAGCCACCGGCACTCAATTAACCTCTTCCCGTCTCATTTCCTCCATCCCCACAAACCTCTCTCATTTCTTTTCTCTATCTAATTAACTAATTCATTCAGTTCTGTCTCTCACTCACGCGATCAGCCAGGATTTTTGTTTTGTTTCGGGGTGTTTTTTTTTGGTACCATTATTATTGATCGTTCACTTTTAGATGCTGTCATCATCAGTCACAGTTCTAACAGCCAAAGAGAACCATGCTGGGTGCACTATCTTCATGCTAACATTTCCCGCATTCAGCAAAGGTAATCCATTTAATTTTTCTCCTGATTTACAGACAAGACATGGACATTCCTTCTCATTGGAATCTGAGGCAATTTTAGGTTAAAGATTTTGAGTTTCAAAACAACTCAAGCTTTTTCGAATGCAATTCTTTGAATATCTTAATAACGACTCCGAATAATCTTACCATTTTTATACAATAGAACATCCAGTTTCTGGCATCATGGTCATATAGTAACTCAAAACGGCCGAAAATGTCGGGTAGAACTCTGTAATTCTAAGATAGCGAGGTGTGGATGATGTAATGGAGGTAGTTGATGTAATTGCAGCTGAAGCTGATGTGATGGAGTTATATGATGTGGCAGAGGTAGCTGTAGTTGTAGCTGGTGAGACGGAGAGTTGGTGTGACGGGAGTAGTTGGTGTGACGGAGAGTTGGTGTGACGGGTGTAGTTGGTGTGAAGGGAGTAGTTGGTGTGACGGGAGTAGTTGGTGTGACGGGAGTAGTTGGTGTGACGGAGGTAGTCGGTGTGACGGGAGTAGTTGGTGTGACGGGAGTAGTTGGTGTGACGGAGGTAGTCGGTGTGACGGGAGTAGTTGGTGTGACGAAGGTAGCTGTAGTTGTAGCTGGTGTGACGGAGAGTTGGTGTGACGGGAGTAGTTGGTGTGACGGAGAGTTGGTGTGACGGGTGTAGTTGGTGTGACGGAGGTAGTTGGTGTGACGGAGAGTTAGTGTGACGGGTGTAGTTGGTGTGACGAAGGTAGTTGGTGTGACGGGTGTAGTTGGTGTGACGGAGAGTTGGTGTGACGGGAGTAGTTGGTGTGGCGGAGGTAGTTGGTGCGACGGAGAGTTGGTGTGACGAAGGTAGTTGGTGTGAAAGAGAGTTGGTGTGACGAGGTACTTGGTGTGACAGTGTGACGGAGGTAGTTGGTGTGACGGATGTACTTGGTGTGACGGAGAGCTGGTGTCACGGAGAGCTGGTGTGACGGGTAGTTGGTGTGACGGGGTGGTTGGTGTGACGGAGGTATTTGTTGTGACGGGGGTAGTAGGTGTGACGGAGGTATTTGGTGTGACGGGGGTAGTTGGTGTGACAGAAGTAGTTGATGTGACGGAGAGTTGGTGTGACGGAGATAGTTGGTGGGATGGAGGTAGTTGGTGTGATGGAGGTAGTTGGTGTGATGGAGGTAGTTGGTGTGACAGAGGTAGCTGGTGTGACGGAGAGTTGGTGTGACGGGGGTAGTTGGTGGGACGGAGGTAGTTGGTGTGACAGAGGTAGTTGGTGTGACGGAGGTAGTTGGTGTGACAGAGGTAGTTGGTGTGACGGAGGTAGTTGGTGTGACAGAGGTAGTTGGTGTGACGGAGGTAG